TGGTGAATGCCGTGTGAATGATTGTTTTCATTTTCAATTTCAAATCACACCACCAAGGAGAGACATCAGTTAAAAAAAAATAGTTATGTAATCTCCAAAAATATGTTTCCAAAACAGAGGAGCAGGAAGAAAAATATCACAAAGTACAGTGCAGTACAACAGTTTAAAGAAGAACACTAAAATGTATGAATATACTGTATACAGTATATGTAGGAACAGGTAAAAGTTTATTCCATGCTGAAAAGAAAGGAGACACAACATTTTGGTTGTCACACAGGACAGGATGAACATTAGAAATCAATGGAAAACAAAAACTGACCACCAGGAGCCATCACACAAGACAGTTTAAAGACACAAGACAGTTTATTGCCGACTCAATATTTGTGTTCCTAACATTTGCATTGATCTCAGTATATAGGATTTCTGTACTGAAATCCACCTATTAACTAACAGGTAAACATGACATTATAAGAGAAAGAACATCTTTTAGCTTGTCTTGCTTACCGATTAAGAATAAATTTCCAGGTATTTATTGAAGGATCTCGGGGAACCATCTTAAAAATATGGCTGGGGAGTTTGTGCCAGACCCCAGATGCCCTTTGTATAATGAGATTTTATTTTTGTTCCAGATTCCAATACAGGATTCTCAATATGTTTGTTGAAGACAGTCCTGTTCAGCTTGGGTCTGATCATCATGATCTCTGCTGTCATTGGAGTCCATGTCAGGGAGATCCTGAGGGACAGGTGAGCCTTCATTGGACTCTACATGCACTGAAAAATGCTCAGTGAGCTTTTAACATGCGATTTTAAAGACAGGGAGGATTCTTATTTAAGATGTCTAAAATAAGATTAAATTTTACTTGACAACAAGAGTCTCTGAAAATCATTCTATACATTATGTTAAGTTTGCAACATCTAAAGGACACTTCCCACTAATTTGCCTCCTCTTAAAAGTCAGATCAGTGACAGAGCTATAGTTCTTCGTCAGTAGCCTAAGTAACAGGGGCTACTGACAAAGTAGCCCCTGTTACTTAGTTACTAGTGATGTAACTAGTGAACAGAGATGACAAAATATCCTATCTACGGTTAAAATGATATGATCACTGTATTGGCCGCATAAAATTTCTTGCATTAGGAATTTGTCTGTTCACATACCCCAGCTTGCTCTCTATGAGACACACAGACAGAGAAAGAAGCTTGGGGTCAGATCACAGGGTCAGCCATTATACAGCACCCCTGGAACAGTTGGGGTGAAGGGTCTTGCTCAGGGGCCAAACAGAGTAGAACTTCTCTGCTGGTCATGGGATTTGAACCAGCAAACTTCTAGTCATGAGCACAAATCCTTAGCCACAGAACCACCACTCTGTTAGTCTTTTACTACAGCTAAATAATAGCTGTGCTCTTTGGCACTGTGTTCAATGATAAAACCACTGAAGCATAGTAAGGTATCTAGTGCTTTAACTAACATACCAGACCAAATTCACTGCATATTTCATAATTTTGAGACAAAAACTCATGGATTACCTCAGCTGACTATAACCCCTCCACTCACACACAAATACATATTTGACTGGATTTGAGTGTTTTATTGACTAACATTCTATTTTTATTAACTATTCTGTGTGCCACCATGCAATCCCACACAGGGTGACATCTCCACAGCATGTGTTTGTCAGGAGGTATTATCTTTGTAAAAACATTACCTTAAACCTTGGCTGTAAAAAACATGCGCACATCTACTCCCAGCCATAGTCTGACCCATTTGGTATCCATCTTAGAGACTTCCTGGCTCACCTGGTGAACACTTGAGCTCTTCCATTTCAAGACAGGACAAATACCTGAGAGTCTTCTGCTCAACTCAAGTGGCATTTTGTTATTTTCTTGGAAATTCTGTTCTTGCAGAAATCTGGAATCTTCTGTGTGTTCAGACCATTTTCAGGGATCAAGAGGAGAATCATAATGAAATGATGAGAATGTTTTAAAACTTTTTTTTTCTTTTCTCAGATAAACTGTAGAAGTAAAGTTGAGATTAAGAATTATTTGTGTGAAACACAATATCACTTTTTTTTAAATTCTGTCTAAGACACATTAGTCTGCTTTGGAGAGGGGAGACTGGACAGGAATTGAGTAAAGATGAAAATCTTTTCATGGCCAAATGTTTCATGCAAAAAGAATCCTTATGATGCAGTCTTCATAATCCTAATTTAACAAGTGTTAATGATTGTAAATAAGAAAAGAGTCTGAATTAAAGATGAACTACTGGTGGTATTACCAAGAATACAGACCTATATTTTCTGTTAATTGTTATTCATAGTATTCTTTGTTAACTCTTTTGTAAACAAGATGTATTGTAGCTTCATAGCTCAATCTTCAAAGATTTCCAGGAACTGGATTTATTTGACAACGTGGCAATATTGTTATAGCTATTGTATTTTAAAAACATAGCGTAAAAATGTATTCATTTGGGTGATCTCTTTAAATGAAATTTTGTTCTTTTCTTGGAAATTCTGTTCTTGCAGAAATCTGGAATCTGGAATCTGTGTTAATACAATTTTCAGGGATGAAGAGGAGAAAGAGGAGTGGTGTGATGAGAATGTTTTAAAACTGTGTTTTATTATTTTCTCTTAGATCAACTAGAGAAGTAAAGAGCAGATGAAGAAAAACTTATGGGAAGCACTATATAACTTTTCTAAGAATTATTTTTAATTAGACACATTAGTCTGCTTTAGAGAGGGAACACTGGACAGAATTTGAGAAAACCCTTTTGTGGCCACATGTTTCATGTTAAAAAAAAGCCTTATCCTGCCATCTTCATAATCCTATTCAATCAGCTGTGATTGAATTATTATATAAATTCTAGCAAATTGCAATGCATTTTCTCAAAGGCAACACTTTTTCAAACCTTTTGCAGTACTGTTTAACTGGCTCATATGTATTGCATATGTATTCTGATACTGTCTTAGCCTTTCGACTCAATGCATTAAACCTCTCAAAGATTATAAACTATTTTGAATAAGGAGCCATTATTGCCTACAGTATATACTGCATGCATGGAAATAGAAATAAAGAGGCCAAATACCTCTAAAAGTCCTTAACTTTCATGTGTACTGTAAGAAGTTTATTTTCCTTTAAACTTCCATGCTGAACTTTCAAATATTTAGTACATAAGACAAAAATGAATATTTGTAAATTTTATGTCCACACATAGTGACTTTAGTAGCATGTCATATAGAAACTGGTCAAGCCATTTTCCTTTGTGTTATTTTCCTTAACTGTATGCAAAAGTCGAACTACATTAATTTGAGCTGGTTAATGTGTTTAGTCATAAAAAGTAGTTCTCCCATTATCACAAATGTTCTATTACTGTTTTTATTAAGCTTGTTTTAAAAAGGCCTTAGATGAAAAACATTAAACTACTTTTGAAGTACAACTACTTTTTAAACGAATGTTCTGAAAAACTATTTAATCAATTGTATTGTCTATTGTAACATCTTTTTATTGCATTAAAAAGAAGTGTTAAAAAGCTTACTTCTTGCCACTCCAGTGTGTCAGGTGTCTATCAGTGGCACCTCTTCATTGGTGCTGAACGGCACTCTGGGGCAGTCAGTTACTCTGCCCTCAGGGTTTGATGAGAAAAACTTCAGCAGCAGTAATATAACACTACTGTTTTGGAAAATGAACACAACTGTTATCATGCAGTTCCTAATTAAAAACTGGTCTGCTCTTAAGAATATATTTCTTTGGATTCTGAAAACTCTTTTTATTTTATTGAAGAGGGGTATTTAAATATTAGTATGAAAGTTTCCTTATCTTTAGAGAATGAAGATCCAAATGATCATTTAAAAGCATCACTTTGGTCCTTACAGGAAAACTCCACATAGAGCCTAAACATCCTTTTACATAGTTTAGCAAACCTGCTCATGAATATCTCTTGTTGACTTTTTAAGCTTACAGCTTTGATACAAAAGTATTGAGCTCATCTATAAAATGATCTAGAACAGAGATCTCAAACTCTCCTTCTCTAGAGCCTAGTGTCTGCTGGATTTAATTGTACATGAAATCACAGTTACATAATTGGTCTAATTATCCAATAAATTACATTGTTATAATTGTGAGTTAAATGCTTCCTAACATGTCTCTTAGGTGTTTTATTGTTAACTTTTAATGAGCTGAATATTTTGAGTAATCAGCTGTAAAAGGCCTTTGGAAGACCCTAAGCTCCATCTAGCTAAAAAACTAATTAGGTTGATTCTTTAGTTGACTACATAGTTTGGATGAAAACCACATATTTACCCTTTATATTGAATATTGGAATTTTACCTTTACTGTTTATAATTACACAAAGCATGCTCCAGAAAGCTGCCTTCCCTCAGCTCGCAGAGGTTGGCTAGTTCATCTCTAACCTCAGAATTTATTTACAAGCTGATCACAGGCTTCAGTTGCCTCTGAAAATTCCGAGTTCAACTAGGTCAAAAAGAATTACCTAGTTGGTAATTCTAGGTAAGGAATTAAGGTTGGGAACCTTAATACTACATGATAGCAAATCTTGATGGAAAAGCTAGGCACATACTAGTTGAAAAAAACATGGTATGTGCTTAGTATTGAGTGAGGAGAATGGCTTTTACAGTGTTGCCATGAAAGATTGCTTAACTCATTAATATGCATATCCTCCATACTGCTATAATACACAGAGGGTCTCAGCAGCTCCTCGGAGGGGTTTTCACTGTGTTTTTTAAAGACTGTCTTGTTCATCTTGGGTCTGATAGTTATTGCAGTCCACATCAGGGAAATCTTAAGAAACAGGTGAGCCTTCGTCGACCTCGAATGATTTGGGAATGTGTACTGCAAAGCGCTTATTGATGGTTTAATAACCTAACCTCCAAATTATGGTGGTACTAAAGGTAATATAACCAATATTTAAAAATACATTTTTTATTTGATCACTAAAGACTTGGATTTTATCAGGCTTGTTTATTAATAAACTGTTAAATAATAACTGTTATATGAAGAAATTCTGGTTGTAATATTCTAACAGAGTAAAAGAGTGAGATTATCAGAAGTCAAAATTGTTTATAAAGAATTTTGCAAAGTGGTAATGTCACGACCACCAGGCAGTCAAGACCAACTCGTAAGCGAGCTAATCAGCCCCAGCAGCGGGTGATTATTAACAAA